CATAGATGTCACCCTCAGTTCACACCGCATGCATTACAAAACATAGCTCTCACCACAGAGCTTACACCGCATAACGTTCACCTCCATAGCTCACACCACATAGCCCACACGGTATGGCGTTCACCACATAGCTCACGCCGCACAGTGTTCACCTCCACAGTGCAAGAATGCACTGTTTGGAGCCCGCGCTAGCTAACATTGAATGGTGCGTACAGGTTGGCCCCGTCGGGTTCCTGAGAGCTTACGGCGCTCCAAATGGTTTACAATCAGGTTTCAAGAGGGCCCCACGACAGCCCAGGAGGACTCCATGACAGCCCAGGATGGCCCCAAGGCAGCCCGAAGGGCCCAAGACCGCCCAGGAGGACCCCAAGGCGGCCAGAGGGTGTACCGAGACGGCCCAAGAGTGCCCATGGACCGCTCAAGAGGCACCCGAGACGGCCGAAGATGCCCCGAAGGCTCCAATGTGCGGCTCAAGAGTGAGAAATCGAGCTGATCTCGAAAGCCTCTCCCAAGAGGGCCTCGAAGACCCCAACATGCCAACGAGAGGCCCCAGAAGCACCCTAGAAGCCCCCCAAGCGGGCACCAAGAGCACTCGAACTGACCACCAAAATGCCTCCCCTCCCGAACGGCTCTGAGAAGCCTCAGAGGAGCCTCCAAGATGATGAGGGGTAGGGAAAGAGGAGGAATAGGAGGAGGAGGAAGAGGAGTGAGGAAAAGGGGGAGGAGAAGGAAAACGAGGAGGGGGGCGTGAGGAGGGAGGAAGGGGGGAGGAGGATGAGGAGGGGGTGGAGGATGTGTAGGAGAAGAGATGCAATGAAGAGAGAGGAAAGAGGAGGCGGAGGAGGAGACACGAGCAAATAGAGCAGGAACAACGAGGCTACAGATAAGGAGGGGGTGATCACCCTACAGTGGAGGCCCGACCACAAGAAACCTTGCACACGAAACCCAACCCTGGAACCCTAGGAGGTCCCTTGATTGGTTGCGTGGGAACGTCGCGCTTTCCATCGCAAGACGATCGAAACCCAAGAAACCAAGGGCACCCTGGATGCAAGCAGGATGGTTCTTGGCACGGGCCTCCACTGTATCTGAGCTTGAGCAGGTCTTGAAGTAAGCCTCCTTCCTGCTAAGCTGCTGCACAGGCACGGTGGCGAGGTCTGCCGCAAGCAGCTGGGGAATTGGCGCTGAGCTTTACTCAATCGGAGAGGTGCGCATGAGAACATGTGGCTTGGCAGTCGGCCCCGGAGACTGGGGCCCCCTTTCCAGGCGCGCCAGCCCTGGTAGGCCTCCCAGAAGAGCTTGACGATGGGAGTGGCAACAAGAGGGGACCACTTGCGGACAGGCTTCGACGGCAGAAGCTGGGACCATCACTCACAAGACACCATCCCGCCAGAATCAGGTCGGGCGTGTCCCCCTACAGGCAGAGTTTGGACGAACAGATAATCGAATAAATATTCAAAGCATGCTCAACAAATACTTACAACAAATCGTCCCCATATTAGTTCTAATACATGTTTCCAAGTATCCCGGCGAAGCAACCTAACAGCGATATGTATAAGCATATCTGGAAGCATTCCCCTTAAGATTCAGGTGAGAATCCAGTTGTAGAATTCTGCTGTTCTCGCAGTCGCAGTCGCATTCGCAATGACAGTCGCAGTGGCAACGGCCTTAGGATACAATGGAATCCTAAGGATTCCTAGGGATTCCTAAGGCATCCTTAGGCATCCTTAGGAATCCATAGGAATCCTTAGGACACCTTAGGAATCCTTAGGAATCCTGATTCCTAGGGATTCCTAGGGATTCCTAAGGATTCCTAGGGAATCCTAAGGATTCCGAAGGATTCGCCTGCCTCGGCCTCAGCCTCAGCCTGCCTCAGCCTCAGCCTGCCTCAGTCTTAGTCTCAGCCTGCCTCAGCCTCAGCCTGCCTCAGCCATAACTTCAGCCTCAGCCTCAGCCTCAGCCTGCGTCAGCCTCAGCCTGCATCAGCCTCAGCCTCAACCTGCCTCAGCCTCAGCCTCAGCCTGCCTCAGCCTCAGCCTGCATCAGCCTCAGCCTCAGCCTGCCTCAGCCGCGGCTTGCCTCAGCCTCAGCCACAGCCTCAGCCTCAGCCTGCCTCAGCTTCAGCCTCAGCCTCATCCTGCCTCAGCTTCAGCCTCAGCCTCAGCCTCAGCCTGCCTCGGCCGAGCCTCAGCCTCAGCCTCAGCCTCAGCGCCTCAGCCTCAGCCTCAGCCTCAGCCTCCTCCTCAGCCTCAGCCTCAGCCTCAGCCTGCATCAGCCTCAGCCTCAGCCTCAGCCTCAGCCTCAGCATCAGCCTCAGCCTCAGCCTGCCTCAGCATCAGCCTGCCTCAGCCTCAGCCTCAGCCTGCCTCAGCCTCAGCCTCAGCTTGCCTCGGCCTCAGCTTGCCTCGGCCTCTGCCTCAGCCTCAGCCTGCCTCAGCCTCAGCGTCAGCCTCTCAGCCTCAGCCTGCATCAGCCTCAGCCTCAGCCTCAGCCTCAGCCTCAGCTTGCCTCAGCCTCATTCTCAGCCTGCCTCAGAATCAGCCTGCCTCAGCCTCCTGAGCCTGCCTCGGCCTCAGCCTCAGCCTCAGCCTCAGCCTCAGCCTGCCTCAGCCTCAGCCTCAGCCTGTCTCAGCCTCAGCCTCAGCCTCAGCCTCAGCCTCAGCCTTTGCCTCAGCCTCAGCCTGCCTCGGCTTGCCTCAGCCTCAGCCTCAGCCTGCCTCAGCCTCAGCCTCAGCCTCAGCCTCAGCCTCAGCCTCAGCCTCAGCCTGCCTCAGCCTCAGCCTGCCTCAGCCGCAGCTTGCCTCAGCCTCAGCCTGCCTCAGCCTCAGCCTGCCTCAGCCTCAGCCTCAGCCTCAGCCTGCCTCAGCCTCAGCCTCAGCCTCAGCCTCAGCCTCGGCCTCAGCCTCAGCCTCAGCCTCAGCATCAGCCTCAGCCTCAGCCTCAGCCTCAGCATCAGCCTCAGCCTCAGCCTCAGCCTCAGCCTGCCTCAGCCTCAGCCTGCAGCCTCAGCCTGCCTCAGCCTAGCCTTCAGCCTGCCTCGGCCTCAGCCTCAGCCTGCCTCAGCCTCAGCCTGCATCAGCCTCAGCCTCAGCCTGCCTGCCTCAGCCTCAGCCTCAGCCTCAGCCTGCCTCAGCCTCAGCCTCAGCATCAGCCTCAGCCTCAGCCTGCCTCAGCCTCGGCCTCAGCCTCAGCCTGCCTCAGCCTCAGCCTGCCTCAGCCTCAGCCTCAGCTTCAGCCTCAGCCTCAGCCTCAGCAGCCTCAGCCTGCCTCAGCCTCAGCGTCAGCCTCTCAGCCTCAGCCTGCATCAGCCTCAGCCTCAGCATCAGCCTCAGCCTCAGCTCAGCCTCAGCCTGCCTCAGCCTCAGCCTGCATCAGCCTCAGCATCAGCCTGCCTCAGCCGCAGCTCGCCTCCCTCCCACAGCCTCAGCCTCATCCTCAGCCTGCCTCAGCTTCAGCCTCAGCCTCAGCCTGCTCCTTGCCTCTCCTCAGCCTCAGCCTCGCCTCAGCCTCAGCTCAGCCTGCCTCAGCCTCAGCCTGCCTCAGCCTCTCAGCCTCAGCCTCAGCCTCAGCCTCAGCCTCAGCCTCAGCCTGCCTCAGCCTCAGCCTGCCTCAGCCTCAGCCTCAGCCTCAGCCTGCCTCTCAGCCTCAGCCTGCCTCAGCCTTCAGCCTCAGCCTCAGCCTCAGCCTCAGCCTCAGCCTGCCTCAGCTTCAGCCTCAGCCTCAGCCTTTCGCCTCAGCCTCAGCCTCAGCCTGCCTCGGCCTCAGCCTCAGCCTCAGCCTGCCTCAGCCTCAGCCTCAGCCTCTCAGCCTCAGCCTGCATCAGCCTCAGCCTCAGCCTCAGCCTGCCTCAGCCTCAGTCTCAGCCTGCCTCAGCCTCAGCCTGCCTCAGCCTCAACTTCAGCCTGCCTCGGCCTCAGCCTGCGTCAGCCTCAGCCTCAGCCTGCCTCCTCAGCCTCAGCCTGCCTCAGCCTCAGCCTCAGCCTGCCTCGGCGTGCCTCAGCCTCAGCCTCAGCCTGCCTCGGCCTCAGCCTGCCTCGGCCTCTGCCTGCCTCAGCTCGGGCATTCAAAATATGGCACAGGACTGGCGTTCTGGGAACACGAAGATCACGAAATGGCCCACAGTTGGCTCCGGGCAATCAAAATATGGTACAGGAATGGTGTTCCGCGAACACGAAGAGCACGAAGTGGCCTACAGTTGGCTCCGGGCATTCAAAATGTGGCCTGGGAATGGTGCTCTGGGAACACGAAGAGCACGAAGTGGCCTACAGCTGGCTCCGGGCATTCAAAATGTGGCCTGGGAATGGTGTTCTGGGAACACGAAGAGCACGAAGTGGCCTACAGTTGGCTCCAGGCATTCAAAATGTGGCCTGAGAACGGTTTTCTGGGACCACGAAGAACACGAAGTGGCCTACAGCTCGCTCCGGGCATTCAAAATGAGGCCTGGGAATTGTGTTCTGGAATGGATTCCTAAGGATTCCTAAGAATTCCTAATGATTCCTAAGTTTTCCTGGGGCTGCACTTTGTCGGGTTCCTTGTCCGGATCCCGCCCAGACCCCCCTGGGGCGTCAAGATGCTCTGTTTTAATCCCACTAGAAGCCTATCAGCAAAAGCTGTTATGTAAATTCCTCCTGTAGAGGGACACGCCCGACTTAACGCTAAAGTTTTGTCTGAGCCACTGCTTGACCAGAGACAGGAGGCAACCTGAGGACAAAGCTCACGGCCCCCCGCCACCACCCGAAGAGTCCCACCACCAACCCCGGCGGAGGCTTCCCAGGAGCACGCTGCCACGGGCGTCGAGAAAATTATCGACCAGTTCGCATCAGCAGAGACCCCGTCAAGCTCACACCATGAACCTGCAAGCCATACCAGCTCCAAACGAGGAGGCCACGACGCGCCAAACGCATGCCGTGAAACAGGACCACTTCGCGACAGGCCTCGACAATCCAGCTTGCCGCCGCCGTCGTCCTCGCCGCCGCCACCTCCACCGGCTGAGCGCGGCTGGCCTCCTGGAAGCACGCGGGGTGGGCATGTGCGTGCAGCGCCGCGGCCGCCTCCCCCCGAGCTGCCGGCTTTCTTCCGGCTGCCACCCTCCGCCGCGTGCTGCCGCCGCCCTGACGATTCCCACTCACCGCCGCTCCACCTGCAGAAGAAACGCCAGGCATACACACCTTCGCCTAATGTCGGGCCGCTGGCAAAAGGAACGCTGAATCAGTTTGAAGGGGGTTGGGAAGCCAAACGAGAAGTTTCTCCCAAGGCGAAGCCCATATCCAACTCTGCTGTACCGTAGTAGCGATAGTCCCAGAAGTAGAAGATCGTCGCGGGAGCGATGGGCCATGTCAAGCGATAGTGTTTTCGGTCTCAATGGCAAGTAGCGTGCCTCGCGATGAAGCAATGTCATATGTTGGCGGCCGGCCGCTTAAGAACAAACGGCCGCGGACAAACGCTCGCTATCTCCCGCCTTTGCCCCCGACCCCTTTAGAGTCGGGGGGGGGAGAGACGAAGCGTGAGTCTACCGCCTGCTATACAGTAAACACGATATACACAAGGTAGGCAGAAGCAGACGGGCTCAACAAAAAAGGTTGAGCCGCACGCAAGTGCCCTCGCAGGCAAGTTGTTTCGCAGGCAAGCCACCTTGCAGGCGATTATTCCTCATGCGGTTCAGACGATCTTGTCTGGCCAACCCTGTACTGAGTATGTCGTTTAAATCGTGATTGAAGGATTGCGTTCCTCCCATGACCTGTAAGAGCGCATCTCTGTCGATGTTCCCTTTGGTGTGGCCGTCCGCACTCATGTCGCGAGTGTCACACCACTGTACACTTGCACGCTACCTCGCTCCATCATCTGTCGCACCCAACTGATGTGTCCCAGAAGAATACATTCAGTCGGTTTCTTCAGGTCTTTGCTTGACAAGGACTTGAAGACATATTATGTATCGATGGTCAAAGCGACCTTAATGCTCAGGCCGCCCATCTCATGTGTGCATATAAGAATACATATACATATACATATACAGATACACTTATATATAATATCAACTGAGTGTGTGTCAGCGGCCCCGCGTGGAGTTCATGCAGAGTAACGATCGGGGGATAGCAGTCCTCCAAATTGCGAGCTGCTGCTAGTGCTTCCGCTGAATAGCTCGAACGGACCTGCAAGCGGTGAGACGCGCAGTGCGCGTCGATGAGATGGACGACGGACTTACCAGCAGGAGCGCGTCAACGCAGTAGCAGGTCTGCCCCGCGATTAGCGTAGCCTTTGACCTCGTCCTCGGCATCCCCACTAAGACGCCGGTAACAGGAGTCGCTGTGCAGGTCGACCTCAACGGTTGGAGCCATCGAATTGTAGACGATCTTCTTAGGGCAAGCCTGCAACTTTCTGGTAATCGCGTTCAGTCGTCGCACTTGCATGTTGGTCGGTTTCTGAGCGCGCTGTATGGGGTACAACATATACCATCAACCATACCTGCGCGATGAAGGCGCAATCCAAAGCGCCTCTGATGCTGACGAACATGTCAGTGACCATATTTGATGCCTTGGCGTCAGCGTCTGCGCCAGTGAGTTCACAATGATGTGTAGGACGGAGATGTTGTATGTATCCGTTTTGATCAAGTGTAACGTTACCACCCCCATCCTTTGTGCACCTCTCAGCGCAAGTGGTAAATGTGCGTTTGCTGAGTTTACATTTGTGAAAAGTATCCTCAGCACACTTGACGCACCTGTCAATGGTGTCCTCAGCGTTGGCCATATTGAGATCATCAAAGTGCTTGACTGGAAGACGGTTGGAACTTGTCTCGAACTCTTCGTCATAGGACGTGGGTCTGCAACCAAGCCCTCCTGTGGTCTGTCTGAGCTTCAGTGAGAAGGCTCTCGGTGCGCCCTTGGTGCCGGTGCCTGGTTTGGGGCACTGCATGCAGTGCTTTAACTCATCACAGTGCTAAAATCCTGGGAGGGATCTAAGTGCAGATGCTGATCCAGGCGGCAGCGTAAAGCACGCCTCACGTTCTTGTTTTTCACTGGTTGCATCGGCAAGTTCCCGATAGGTAAGTTCCTTCAGGAAAGCCATGTTGATGTCAAGGGAAGCAATGATCATATGATTCATTGCTTCCTGCGCGCTGCCGCGCTCGCGAGCAGTCCCTGACTCGACCGCGGACCGCCTGAGAAAGTCTCCACGCCGAAGGCTTCGAGGCCCACAAAACCCCGAAGTACCAGGCGTAGTCTGATGGTCCGTTCCATCTCGCCCCTCTCATTCTTGAGGAACTTACACTTATATGCGCACCTCGAAGTCATGGTGTTTGACGCCTTTGATATATCCTGCATGTTGAAGCGCTTGTTGTCATACATGTCTTGGGTATAATGCGTGGTTTTTAGATGCCATGACGGACTCGCCTGGATGTCGGCCTTCGCGAGGAGGCCCCCTCCTTGACGACTGCGGCTCGCTTAGCTGCAGCGGCCACATGTACTCGCATAGTGGTCACGCGGTCGACGCCTGAAAAACTTGCGTCGTAGTTCGGATAGGATCACCCTTGACATGTCTGCCGCGAGGCAGGACTGTATACGTTGCCCATGCTCGCCAACATTCAATCCGTAAGTGCCATCTTCGTCCGTGGAGCACAATGGGACGCCATCTGCCTCCGCGTCGATATCACGCGGATTACCCCGCGTAGGCAGGTGCCCCCGCTGTTCTTCAGCTACTGTGACTGACCAACACACTGTTGTCGGTGATCATATGCGCGGGTACAGCGTAAAGGTCGTCTATTGGAGTTGCCTCCAGTAGCTCTCTGTCCCCTAGCAGTTCTGCGTGCCACACAGCCAAAATATGTGCCTGAAGGTTCGCTTCTGACTCCTCATAAGTAATAGGAAGCCGTCCGTCCTCCTGTGGTGATTCGGGTTATGGGGCTTCTCTGGCGTCGTTGTCTTGCGTCGGTGCGTCAGCCAGTTCTTCAGACTTCGCCACGTCCTGGTCGAAGCCCGCTTGAGGTTTAGTGGACTTCAGGCATTGGATGATCCCCAAATGTGCTGATCGTTATATCGTATATGTATAAGGCAGTACCCTCGGCTTCGCAATAGTGGAAGCCTGGGTCCACGTCGCTGTCATAGTGCACCAGCGAACAACTGTCAGCAACAGCCACCAGAGGTAGCTTGTAAATACTCTTAGCTAACCTGACGGAGACTACGTTCGATACGAAGGAAGTTCCTGATGAGGCATTGAAGAGCCAAGTGTGCTCGAGGAGAAAGTCGGCTCGCACTTGCTATCTGGAGCATTCCCTTTCTGGTCGGGATATAACCAAATGTCATAGCTAGTCGCCCCGCAGGTAGACTGGCTACGAATGCGAATGCAGTCCGTGGCGCAGTGCTGCCTGAGCCAATTCCGCGAGCGATGAAAGCTTCAATGTACAGTGAATGTCGTGCGTCGCCGCATTGGACTTGTACACCGCGGCTCCCCCCTCCGCTGATGACTTGACCCCTGTCGGGATCGTTTCGCGCGACCGGGAACGGGCCATTCCGGCCTCCCCAGTACCCCTGTTTAGCAGTGCAACGATGATAGTCCACCAGATCTAAGTCACCATATAAATGCTGATCCGTGATCGGGGTCTTGGTCCGTAGTGCACGGTTGGTTTTGGCTACTGCAGTGGCTTGAGTGATAGCCCCAATTCTTACCCGGCGGATAATCTGTTCTCGAGAATGGTCAGATGTTTCTGTCTGCTGTTCATGGTCCAGGGCAGGCAGGTCGGGTAGCATCGCTGGTTGCCGTCCAAGGAGTACGTTGCATGGAGAGAGCTCATTGCAAAAGGTAGACGCGTTGGCGGCGAATAAACCATTATGCATTAGACGTGTGACCACAAAGGGTATGTTTAACCCGCTAAGTCAAGCTTCCATGACGTAAAACAGGTGTCGTAGTATGTCGCTTCTGGCTTCAATTGTTGCAGCGCGTTGTCCACGCGCGCGTATCCTTAGCTCAGAGCCTTCTGCCTCAAGGACTGTGTTGTGCGGCGTCGTTGTTCAGTGCGCCCTCTCCGTCGGAGTAGAGTACGGATCCAAAGTGCACCCAGCACTGATGATACGCATCTAAGATGCTGGTCATAGTTTTATCTAATATCCCGATTCCAACACCATATCGAACGCAACGAACAGTTTTATGAACTATAATGTGTTCCTGCTTGTAGAACATTAGATCGCATTCGACTTTTGCATTGAACTTGCCAGGTAGTGCAGTAGACTGCGCAACGGCGTGCCCTGACTTGTCCCAAGCCCTGCGCTCCAGACATGCATCACGTACACCCTGTATCAAATTCAGCCTGACGTTGTCTAGGCCAGCCTTGGTTAGGACGAGTCTCGGATTAGGTTCTTTGGCGTGGAACCACCGTAAGTGTACTTTTCGCAACTCGCGCGTTACCGCGCCTGGATCATGGCTGCGTAGGTTCTGTGGACTAATCTGCACATCGAACCGCGACCAATCTGGAAGTCCTGGACGACCAGCAGGGTCACCCGCAGGTGGTGGTGGAGGTGGATCCCCTCCTTACTGTCGACCTGCCTGGCGACTACTTGTGGTAGCCGTCTGAGATCGCCCGAGCTGCCAGCTCCACTCGAGGCAGGTTGCCCCGCAGCCAGTTCATCCGCATGTCTGCCTACTGTGATGTCGCGGCTGCTGGCACCCGCTGTTGGTCCAGCTCTGGAGCCAGGCCTCGGAGCTCGTAGCCGCGCAATGTGTTGGGCGGCTGGTGCCTCGGATGCTTCTGCCGCCGCAGGTGGTGGTGCTGCCGTTTCGGCAGGGGCCAGAGGCTCCTGTCCGCGGTTGTCAGGCAGCTTCCAAGGTTTGGATAATTTACACTCGCCAGGCGTAAGTAAGTGACCAGGTTTAGCCTGACCATCGTTCTTCTTGTAGTTTGGACATGTCCAATGGGAATCCTCCTTATCGCACCACCTACAGCGCTTAGATTTCTCATCGTGCGAAGAAGAGCCTGAGGGCGGTCTCATGATCGACCCGCCGGGGTGCCGACGGATAGTAATCATCCAAGTCGAGTCCTCGTATTCTTGTGGCGAGAACGGAAGAT